AAATACTTGTTTTTTGCCCCTTTTTGGCCCCCAATTCCTAAAATTTGGAGGCAATTACCCCCAAAATCAATCCCAGCATTCCCTTTGTGATATGGAACCTTGTGGTACAATGTCAGAGAGATCCATAGACTTACACACAAGTTATTGTCATGAAACTAGAAAAATGCTTGTTTTTTGCCCCTTTTTGGCCCCTAATTCCTAAAATTTGGAGGCAATTACCCCCAAAATCAATCCCAGCATTCCCTTTGTGATATGGAACCTTGTGGTACAATGTCAGAGAGATCCATACACTTACACACAAGTTATGTCTGGAAGTTACAAAAATGCTTATTTTTGGCCCCTTTTTGGCCCCTAATTCCTTAAATGTTGGTACCATAACCCCCAAAATCAATCCCCACCTTCTTTTTGTGATATTGAACCTTATGGTAAAATTTCATTGAGATCCATTCACTCAAACTAAAGTTAGAGTGCGAAAACTAATGTGTATTCGGACGACGACGCCGGACGACGACGACGACGCCAACGTCATACCAATATACGACCACAAAAATTTTTTTGCGGTCGTATAAAAACTCACCAAGATTTTGTAAATTGAATAATTTTCCCAACTCGTATGGAAGAACACGCAGTGCATTGTAGTCCAGCAGCAATTCTCTAAGCTGAGTTAAATCTCCCAATTCTGACGGCAGACTGCGTAGCTTGTTGTGGGACAGATCTAGATAGGCAAGATGGACCAGTTTATTGACCTCACACGGGATTCTTGACAGACTGTTGCCATTGAGGTATAATGATGTCAGATGATTCAACTTGAACAAATCTGGACTTAAATTTCTGACTACACCTGAAACATGTAATGGAAACATATTAAAATGCACTGTTATGACAGCTGTAATAGATAACAAAGACTAAACTGTAAAAATGGGATGATATACAATGTGTACTGATCAATATTTTAGTCTTAGATACATGAATTCTTTTTGTTCTTATGTCGTACTGTTACACCACTGTCCCAGGTTAGGGGAGGGTTGAGCACTCACAAACATGTTTAACCCGCGACATTCTTTATGTGCCTGTCCCAAGTCAGGAGCCTGTAGTTCAGTGGTTGTCGTTGGTTCATGTCTGTCATATTTGTTTTTCATAAATTGTTTTGTTATAAATTAGGCTGTTAGTTTCCTCAAGTGGATTGTTTCATATTTTTCATGTCATATGGTATGGGTTTTTCTCATTGTTGAATGCTGTAACGGTTGCCTATAATTGCTTACATCCACTTTATTTGAACTTTGGTGGATAGTTGTCTTATTGGCAATCATACCACATCTCCTTATTAATATAATACATGTAAACTAAGCAAAACTTTCAAAGTCAATAGATCATGACTGAGGGAGTGGGGTCAAATAATATCCATGGAAATGAGATGTGCCAATGGATAAACAACTGCATACCAAATATCCTTGACCATAATCTAAACTAATACATTGTTGACGCTTCTGCAGCTGATGCTGGAAACAGCATGCCTAAGTCTTGCAATTTCGATTTCGATGGCCAAGACAAAAATGCAATCTAAAATCTCTTGATGCAGTATAAAACTACTGTTTACAATATTTTTGGATCAACAAACAGCATAACATATATAAATGCCATTTTCATTATAAACATAATTATTAATTTAATTTACACTGATTTTTAAAACTATAACTTACCATTGATCTCTAACTCGTACCATACTGACTTCTTCCCAGCTGCTAAATCTTCAGCTGACATGAATGTATTGGCACGGTTAGGAATTGGTGAGTCATGTTTATCATACTTTTCCTTCTTTTGCATTTGAACACCTGAAAATAGTTAAATTACAAACTAACTTGTTCTGTTAAAATGTAAACTGTGTCATTTATAAATTATCACCTCATTTTCACCTGCGGTTTAACAAAGAATCTAATATGCAGTTTTATTAACCTGTTGCACCATCTCATTAAAAAAAAAACAATTAATGATTCCACAAACTCAATAACATCTATCCATAAGTTTTGTGTCAACTATACAAAGTTGCTTTAAACGATTACAATGTGCATGCATATCAAAAGTTGCTTAAAAACACAACTTTGATTATCAATACAGTAGACTCCACCTAATCGGAAACCGGTTAAACGAATATATCGGCTATTGTAATATTATTTCAAAACACCAAACCCTTCCCTATATGTTTAATTTAATCCTGTAATCGAATATCGGATATAAGAATATATTGGCAAATAGGATATTAATATTTATGAAATTTTGTTCAAAACCATGGACAATCGGATATTTTCAAAGTTTTTCTGACAGGAAATGGACCCGGAAGTTACGCAATTACAATCTCGCAGACAAAAAATTTTAGTTTTTACTTAATAAAAAGGAACTATTTCTTAATAAATTATTGTCTTTATTCGTTGTCTTCCTTTGTTATGTGAATCAGATGCCCTTTAAATTCAAATGGATTGAATTTATTTATAAAATACACACAAGAGCAGTACGTTGGGAGAATTTTGATAACACTATAAATGCTCACAGAATCAGGAATATCATTTACACTGAATGTACCTCCTTCTGAATAATTTATTGCAATATAGATATAAATCCCTTTTGACAAGAGAAATCTGACTTTTGTCAGATATAATTATGTAACATGTACATGACCACATGTCATGGACGCCATTTTGTTTTGTTTACAATGTGAAGAATAATACCAAAGTGATTTTAACTATTTTCGACCGTGTAATATAAGACCACTGTGAATAATCAAGCAATTGATGTGCTCCTAACCACAGGAGGAAGTTACAGAAATAAGAAGTAGAAGAAGAAGAAGAAGAAGTCATCGAGAACTATAGACCTAATTAACATAAACAGTCTTCAGAAAACTTAAACTTGATGCAATAATATTTTATCAATCATGATTATTTTCATAAATCTAAATTTGATTATTTAAAGAAAGAAAATATATAACAAATACTATTTCAGTTTAGAGATTACACAGGACATGCTGTGATCTATTTATAGCCCAATTTGCTTACCTGTGATTAATGTAAATAATGGATAATAATAATTCTTTACAAAAACAAATAAAGACACAAACTATGGATGGAAGATATTTATTCACATAAATATTTCTGGACTTTTGATTTATTTTTACCATTGAAAGTCCTTTAAAAGAACCGAAAAGAAGTGAAATACCATTAAACATTTGTTCAAAAATGGACATTTTTTCTTACCAGATTTGTCACTTTTATTCCTACCAAATTTGTGACTTTTTTTCCGTTTACCATATGTGCATATCAATAATAATTATGGGGGAAAATTTGTTTTCCTTGACCTTTATGCAAGACAGCAGACAGTATTGTTTTAAAAGCTGTTCAATATTGATTGAGCATTTCTCGTCTTTTTTATAATACAAGTATACTTGTGTGCCTAAATTAAAATGCAGTATTTACCGCTTGCACAGTGTGTGTAGCTGTTTCAATTACCTCGATAGTTTCTGTATACACACCTGCCTACTTTTCAAAATCGACATTGGGGATTTTAACCGCAAGATGACCTTATTCTCGTCTTGTATATCATAAGTGTTTTTAATCTACTACTATATTGTTTGAATGAGTATGCATGTGCTTAAATACCCTTTTAACTCATTTGAATGCGTGTTTTGAAGTTTTCAGGTTATAAAATAAAGAATTTCAAATACATGTCAACACCTCTCATTGGGGAAATCCCACATAAATTGTGTATGTTGGCATGTCTGTGTACATGTATCTGCAAAGAAGTTTAGTTTGAATTCAAATTGATTGAAACCTTTTGAGAGAAAGGTCTTCTTTTTACAATAATATGCTGTTAACAAAATATGACCTCAAGGCTATAATGGAATGAAGGAACTAATTTGGAGTCAACTATTATTACATTACAAATTCCTGTTAATTAGCAATTATTTCTTATAATGTAACCTTCTAGTCATCATCTTCCATTAATACTTATTGGTAATTACCATTTCATAAATCTATTTACCGGTCATAAAAATAAAATTGATAATGGAAATGGGGAATGTGTCAAAGAGACAACAACTCGACCAAAGAGCAGAAAACAGCTATGCCTGTAAATGAGATTATCGGCATGAGCTAGCATACGACAAATTTAAATATAAATGCCCTAATGTTCATTTTATTACCATTGGCCTAGAAAATGTGAATAATCTACAGCAGTCGTATTTTGTCACCAGATCAGGCAGATGAAATATAAAAGAGCAATTAGCGACATTGGCAAAGCCCAGGCTGGTTATATATCTGGGCAAAACCACTCATTTTCATGGGTAAAACTGATTGTAGCAAACAGGGGCAAATCAACTCTCTACTGACTTGCCGTAATTCAGTCATTGAAGAGGATATATTTACAGTATATAAAATTTTAGGGTTCCTCAAATTTTAAACAGTTAAATACTACATAGCAGGAAAAAGCAGAAAATAAGATGTGGGAATAATATGGGTTTAATTTTTAGGTCTGGTATTGATCAGATATTTGAAGATAGTTTATATAGATAATTGTAAAGACATCCTCGCATCGGATGATCTAAACTCAACAGAATATATATAATTCTGAAATTATATATATGTTATTATAGCAGTTTTTGAAGTTTGATATACAAAGAATTTATACCCTTATATTAGAAAAAGTTTTGACAGTCTATAAATGTCACACCTTCATTGAAACATTCCAAAACTATAGGGAAAATTGGTTTTTACTTTCACAGCTGACAAATTTTCTCGAAAAACCAGTGCAAGATGGCTTCCGATTTATCCATACTACTTTTGTTACGTCTTTTCCGATTGGTTAATGAATTTAAAAAATGCATAAAACTTTTTCATTGTAACAGTTTTGCCATTTTGTTAATATTATAATTAGTGAATTAAATGAAAAATGAAAAAAAATATATTTTTTTTGTTTCGTTTTTCCTTAAAAAGAAGTTAATATTTACTGTGCATCTTCAACATGGCTGCGTCCATGAGTAAGAAATAACTTTGAGCAATTTTCTCAATAATTAACCTTATAGTTTGTGTTTCAAAGAATCTTCCATCTTACTGCTATGATAATTAGTTTTTCCAAGAGTTGACACCTGTGTTGCGAGCTATCACTAGAAAGATTGCCATATTTTTATTCAAATTAATATATAGAATAAAATTTATAAAAACCAAAACTGAACTACATGTATACATACGGTGCAGTCCGGTGTATCCGCGCACCTAAGACTTTTTGCTTCACTTTGGTAATCTCATAAAACTAATAATCGGATAATATTGTGTGAAAAAATTCATGACATACATTAATTTCTTAAAATCTTCTTTGAGGATTGTATCTTGACTAGTCATGCTAGTATGTATGATTACGAAACAAAGAATAAATTTCATTTTGACGCTTTATTTGCCACAAATTCATCAACACACATGTATATAAATCAATAAAACATCAAATATTACTATTATTGTTTCAAACAAATACATAGGATATTTATTATACAATTTCATCCACATATAACATACACAAACTATTACATAATAAATATTGAAATGTTCTCATTATCTATTAGTATTAAATGTTTTCAAACTGGCACTATTGGTACAAGTTCATATATGTACAAAATATATATGACACTTAAAACTAAAGCAGCAATTGTCTGAGTCATCTGTTAGCACAAAATAGCACTATCACAGTTCATTAATTGTTGTCTACTGTTGGTTCTAATGTTGGTGCTGGGTCATTGTTTGCTTAAGTTTTCGGTAGTTCTAATTGTCTGTTCAGATTGAGATTACTTTGGAGATACACCCTTGAACAGCTTAGACCTCCTAGTGATGACATCTTTTAAGCTTACCCTCACCAACCAGTTTTTCTTGAAGGGGGCTTTTGTAGTTTTGGCATGAAGACATTCTAGATGCTCATAAAAAGGTTTGTAGGTGTCAATTGCTTTGTCATTTATACGTCAAGAAAATTGATAGTTTTTTATGCCCCACCGACGATAGTAGTAGGGGCATTATGTTTTCTGGTCTGTCCGTCCGTCTGTCCCGCTTCAGGTTAAAGTTTTTGGTCAAGGTAATTTTTGATGAAGTTGAAGTCCAATCAACTTCAAACTTAGTACACATGTTCCCTATGATATGATCTTTCTAATTTTAATGCCAATTAGAGTTTTGACCCCAATTTCACAGTCCAATGAACAAAGAAAATTTTAGTGTGATTGGGGCATTCTTGTACTATGGACACATTCTTGTTCATAAAGATTTGCAAAAGCAATTCAATAATTTAAACATTCATTTATTGTATGTTTTTATGCCCCCGCCGTAGCAGTGGGGGCATTAAGTTTTACCCTTGTCTGTCTGTACGTACGTACATCCCAAAATTGGTTTCCGTTCTCTAACTTGAGTTTGCCTCAACCAAATGTTATGAAACTTATACACAATGCTTATTACCACAAAACACAGATCAAGTTTGAATTTTGGTGGCGTCACTTTAACTGTTCTAAAGTTATGCCCCTTTATAAATGGAAAAATTGCAAATTTTTTAGTTTCGTTCTCTTACAAGTTTGCCTCGACCAAATGTTATGAAACTTATACACAATGCTTATTACCACAAAACACAGATCAAGTTTGAATTTTGGTGGCGTCACTTTAACCGTTCTAGAGTTATGCCCCTTTATAAATGGAAAAATTGAATTTTTTTAATTTTCTTCTAAATATCAAGTAATTTTTTAAATTGGAGTTATCTTCCTTTGTCCATGATTATAGTTGAATCAACTACAATCAATGCTTTATACAATGCAATGTTTAATTTTGACTTCCACTGATAAAACACAGATCAAGTTGAATTTGGGTAGTGTCACTTTAACCATTTGTGAGTTATGCCCTTTATAAATCGAAAGATTGCTAAATTTTAAGGTTCCATTCTGTAACTTAAGTTTGCCCCAACCAAACATTATGAAACCTATACACAATATTCGTTACCACAAAACTAAGATCAAGTTCAAATTTTTTTTTTCCTTTTTCTAACTTTAGTATGCCTCAACCAAATGTTATGAAACTTATACACAATGCTTATTACTACATAATACAGATTAAGTACTAAACTTGGTGGCAACACTTTTACCATTCTTGAGTTATGTCCCTTTATAAACATAAAAATTGTTGAATTTTTCGTTTCCGTTCTCTAACTTTAGTTTGTCTCAACCAAATGTTATAAAACTTATACACAACCGTTCTAGAGTTATGCGTGTTTACAAATAGAAAAATTGCTGAATTTTTAGTTTCTATTCTGTAACTTACAGTGACTTAAGTTTGCCCCAACCAAACATTATGAAACCTATACACAATATTCATTACCACAAAACTAAGATCAAGATCAAATTTTTTGTTTCCTTTTTCTAACTTTAGTATGCCTCAACCAAATGTTATGAAACTTATACACGATGCTTATTACTACATAATACAGATTAAATACGAAATTTGGTGGCGACACTTTTACCATTCTTGAGTTATGTCCCTTTATAAACATAATAAAATGCTCCGCAGGGCGCAGCTTGATACGACCGCAGATGTCGAACCCTGAACAGTTGGGGCAAGTATGGACACAACATTCAAGCTTGATACAGCTTTGCATTTGGATTGTGATTAAATATTTGACACAGCATAGGTTTCTGACACAGAATGAATGTGGTCTAAGAACTTAAAAATTTTAAATTGGACATTCACCTATTATGGTCCAATATCCAAAATCTAAATACATGGTTAGATTCAGCATATCAAAGAACCCCAAGGATTCAATTTTTGATGAAATCAAACAAAGTTTAATTTTGGACCCTTTTGACCTCAATGTGGACAAAGTTGATAACGGGGCCCAAAAATCAAAAATCTAAATACATGGTTAGATTCAGCATATCAAAGAACCCCATATATTCAATTTTTGTTGAAATCAAAGAAAGTTTAATTTTGGACCAACTTGAAAACTGGGCCCATAATCAAAAATCTAAATACATGTTTAGATTCAGCATATCAAAGAACCCTCAGAATTCAATTTTTGTTAAAATCAAACTAAGTTTAATTTTGGACCCTTTGGACCTTCATGTAGACCAATTTGAAAATGGAACCAAAAATTAAGAATCTAAATACACGGTTAGATTCGGCATATCAAAGAACCCCAATAATTTAATTTTTGATGAAATCAAACAAAGTTTTAATTTTGGACCCTTTGGACCTCAATGTGGACCAATTTAAAAACGGGGCCCAAAATCCAAAAACTAAATACACGGTTAGATTCAGCATATTAAAGAACCCCAAGAATTCAAGAATAAAACCCCATTGAAATTGGTCAAGAAATAAGCAATTTATACGAAGTATCTTCTTTTGCACAATACTGTGCAATTAAATATTTCTTGCTATTGTGCAATACTGTACAATTGACAATTTCTTGCTATTGCGAAATATTGTGCTATTGGATATTTCTTGCTATTGCGCAATACTGTGCAATTGAAGATTTCTTGCTATTGCGCAATACTGTGCAATTGAAGATTTCTTGCTATTGTGCAATACTGTGCAATTGAAAATTTCTTGCTATTGCACAATACTTATTATATAATAATTTACACATCCTGTTTGGTGTGTTTCTCCTATCATATCATTATTATTTGCTTTTAAATATAAATCAGAAATAACCAACTTAAAATGGAAAATTTTAAAAGAAAAAAAAAGGAAAAAAAGAAAAAAAAGTAATAAAAAAAAAATCCCCCCCCCTAAATTTTTTGAACCCCCTTATGATTCATCACCCCCAAACTCAATCCCAGCCGTATGGTACCTTGCAGTACAATTTCAGAGAGATCCATACACTTGAACACAAGTTATTGTCTGGAAACTAGAAAAATGTGTTTTTTGGCCCCTTTTTGGCCCCAAATTCCTAAACGTTTAAGGCAATTACCCCCAAACTCAAACCCAGCTTTCCCTTTGTGATATGGAACCTTTAAGTACAATTTCAGAAAGATCCATACACTTACACACAAGTTATTGTCCTGAAACTAGAAAAATGCTTGTTTTTTGCCCCTTTTTTGCCCCTAATTCCTAAAATATTGAGGCAATTACCCCCGTCATCAAGCCCAGCCTTCCCTTTGTGGTATGGTACCTTGCAGTACAATTTCAGAGAGATCCATACACTTGAACACAAGTTATTGTCTGGAAACTAGAAAAATGCTTATTTTTGGCCCCTTTTTGGTCCCTAATTCCTAAACGTTTCGGCAATTACCCCCAAACTCAATTCCAGCTTTCCCTTTGTGATATGGAACCTTGTAGTACAATTTCAGAAAGATCCATACACTTACACACAAGTTATTGTCATGAAACTAGAGAAATGCTTGTTTTTTGCCCCTTTTTTGGCCCCTAATTCCTAAAATTTTGAGGCAATTACCCCCAAAATCAATCCCAGCATTCCTTTTGTGATATGGAACCTTGTGGTACAATGTCAGAGAGATCCATACACTAACACACAAGTTATGTCTGGAAGTTACAAAAATGCTTATTTTTGGCCCCTTTTTGGCCCCTAATTCCTTTACTGTTGGTACCATAACCCCCAAAATCAATCCCAACCTTCCTTTTGTTGTATTGAACCTTGTGGTAAAATTTCATAGAGATACATTTACTTAAACTAAAGTTAGAGTGCGAAAACCAATGTGTCTTCGGACGACGCCGGACGACGACGACGCCAACGTCATACCAATATACGACCACAAAAAAATGTTTTTGCGGTCGTATAAAAATTGCTGAATTTTTCGTTTCCGTTCTCTAACTTTAGTTTGTCTCAACCAAATGTTATAAAACTTATACACAACAAAAAACCGTTCTAGAGTTATTGCTGAATTTTTATACGACCGCAAAAATTTTTTGCTGTCGTATATTGGTATGACGTTGGCGTCGTTGTTGTCGTCGTCTGGCGTCGTCCGGCGATCGTCCGAAGACACATTGGTTTTCGCACTCTAAC